CAATGTTATGTTGAACATTTGTTGCTTTGTTTATCCCTTCTGCTAACAATTCCTTGAATTTTCTTTGGTGAACCATATTTCCCTTATCTTTCCATGTGGTTTAGATGGGGCTCGCAAAGTGGGCACATGACCTTGGTTAGGCAAATACCTCATTGTACCCTCTGGTCATAACTGCTTCATGAATGAGCATATGATCAAGCTAAGCAAGTCCAGTTCAGCTAGTTATTCCCACTACCTATGCTTAACTGATAGAGAGTCGTATTCTTTGGGCTCAGCTGGGAGCTTTGAGGATACAAACTGGGAGCTTCATGCAGCTTTCTTGCCATGAGGAGGGGAACAAAGGTAAGCAATGAATAGAGGCTGGACCCTGACAGCATTATCTGAATCCTTGGAAGCAAGTGTGCCTGAAAGCAAATTTATATCAGGACTTTTCAGATACATGATCCAGTAATACTGAATCTAGTTTGTATACTTTTCTGCACCTTCTACTTATAAGCGCTTCCAAAGATAATTAGGATATTTTCAATAAAAGTGCTTGCTACTTAATGATTAGAATTTGCTGTATAGCTAAACTCAAGTGCATGCAGTAGAAACTTGTGAAAAATATAAAAAAGGAAAAATAGTTGGTGAGTTGTAAACAAATTTCCACATAAGAATGAGGCCAATACTGGAATGCTCAGATTAAAGAAAGTTAAAATTAAAAATCACACTTTTATTTCAAAACAAAAACATGAATTTTTCCTTAAAATCTTCCTTATACTGTCATGGAAAAGGGTGTCAAACATTTTTCATCAAAACACTTTTACAAGAGAAAACTCTGGATAAAGATTAAATATATTGGGGATAATGGTAGGCAGATTTCTCACTTTCAAAGAAGTTATAAACTTAGAAAGTAGAAAGTCTAGAATAAACTCCTGTGTTGGATTGAAAATGAAGCATCACTGTACACTCATGGTTTTAATATACATATACTGATAGATACAGAAAGATATAGATGTGTGTGGGTGTGCAAATATACATACATCTGTATCCTAGTTGTGTTGGTTGAGAAAGTTCAGAAGCTACATTACTCTGATGGATTTTAAATACCACTCTCTACTAAAAGGAACCAGTGCTCCCTAAAGAAATGGCTGTTTCTAGGGCTAATGCTAAGAAAGTATAAGATGCTCAAAGGATAACAGGGACATGTCAAAAGTACAAGTGATCCAGCTTGAAGAGGTTGCTACTGACAAAATCTGGAATAATTTTAGCATTAAAAAACCTACTGAATAAAATAAGAATCCATGAGTATGTCTGATATGAGTGAATGAATGAATGAATGAATAGAGAAAAAGAAAAACTCCTTGTTACAGTAGAAGATGAACCAGTAAGTGGTAAAGAAAAGATAGAATTAGTAAATAGCCATTTGGCAACCACTGTAGTAAAAGAATGATTCAGACAAGAATCATCAATGGATAAAAAAGTAGCAGATGGAAGTATTAGGAGGAAGAGGATACTTACTGTAGTTTGAAAGTATGCCTCTGCAAGTTAATAATTACATAGGGAAAATTTACTTTTACAGTAGAGAAACCTGATCAGCACCATCTGAACTAAGTGATCAAAGTTAACATTACATGTAATGGGATGAGTCGCCATCGTATGCCTCCTGAAATCATGCACGGAGAAAAACACAAAATTCCTTCTGTGGTATTTCTGCCAAATATGCATAACCTGAATCTAGTCATAAGGAAACATCAGGAAAAACTAAATTACAGGACATTCTGAAAAATAACTGGCTTACATTTGACAAAACTGAAAGGTCAGGAGAGAAAGAAAAGTTGAGGAACTGTTCCAGATTAAAGGAGATAAAGAGACATGACAGATGGGTGTGACAAGTGAACTGGGTTTTTGTTTTGTTACAAAGGATATTGTTGGGACAATTGGTGAGATCCAAATAAGGATTGCAGATTAGAAAACACCGTAACATTTACGTTATTTTTCTTACTTTGGCCACTACTTGTGCTGGGCTTCAAGGCACCCAGGAGAGACAAAGCTGTGAACCAAAGCCAGCTGCTGCTTGTTTGAGAGAATTTAGGAAAATTTGAAGCATGGGCCAAGACACGACACTTGTAAGGAAAAGCCACTGGAAACAGCTTAGGTGGGCTTTAAAGTGGGTGGGGTTGGGCCTCAGGGAATCACCAGGGTGTGGTAAACAGTGTGAGCCAGATTGATGGAGTCTCAGATATGGCACCTGCCAGATATGGGGTTCTGTGGTGGGGAAAGACTCAGAAAAGGAAAAATGGCCTCTACCAGCACTTCACCCTGGGAGATAGCTGCTCCCAGCTCTCATTGTTATGTCAGATGATTCAGTTCCTCCGCATATGTCTCTGATGCTTTTCAATCTGCTGCCCCACTGGAGCTCAGAGGGAGTGAGTCTAAGTAAGTCTGTGCACAGGTCCTTTAAGAGGAACTGCCTGGGACAGTTAAGTAAAATAGAGACTGTTAAGTCCTAGAGGTTTCTGACTTCCACGGCCTTAATCCCCACTGGCTTTTACAGCCAGAAGTTATGGAGATTTATTTCCTGGCACTGGAACCCTGGGAAGGGAGTGCCTGGTATGGGGATAGGACCCCTTGCTTCTGAGATATCCCTCCAGATTTTAATCTACCACATGTGGGTGTGGGACTAGCATTTTCTGTTTCTCCACCCATCCTACTAGTCTTGATGTGGTTTCTTCTCTACTTCCATAGTTGTAGGACTTCCACCAGATAAATATTTGACAGTTCTGAATGATAACTGTTCTATATTTTAGTTATAATTTTGATGTGGTTGTGCGAGGAGGCAAATTGTGTTTCTTATTCACGTTTTTTGAGGGAGGAAAACTACCCACCTGTGGTATATATTAACAGAAGAGATTGTTTCAACTCCAATACTTTCCCACATGTGTGCTGAGCAAATGAGATTGATCACAGGACAGCACGTTTGATGTGCGCAGTTGCTACTGTAATTCCTAGTGTTTCGTAAGGTCTAAAATAACAGAGCTGCTGATATGATGATACAGCACATTCTCCTAATCCACAGTACTTGGCTCTGTGAAACCCTGAAGAGATGGAGTACCTAAAACTAAAAACCATCAGAATGCAGAACTCTTTTCTCATCTCTGCCTCTACTACTCTTATAGTATACACTTTAGGTACAATGTACCATTCTCAATATCGAATCCTGCCCATTTTTCTCGGTTGCTTTAGGGCGATAATAGTTTCCAGATGAAAGTATAAAAAGAGGTACTGCTAGAGGTAGGCAGTGGTAGGTGTGACCTGCACTCTGGCTGCTCACAGTGGGCAGAAGAGGGTGGTGCCTGAGCTGACAGTGAGGAAGAAGGGAAGAGTAGTCATGCTTCTAGGTGGGAATATTTACATAGTTAAGGTATATCATCAATTGTGCTTTTTAATCTGGTTTAATCAGATGTGCAGATCATATAAATTTTTTTCAGACTCAAGCAATAGGAAGATTTTCAGAGTTATAACATTTTTTATGTATCTTTATGGATACTTTAATGGGGAGTGAAAGAATTGTATATTGAGCTGGTAGTCAGATGCCATTTTAAAGTGAAATCTTGAATGGATTTGAAAGGCATACAGCAAAGAGCAAACAGAAATTTGAATTCTTCAAAAGCATATAAGGAAGTGGGTAGGGCAGGGGAAACTGGTGGCGGGTAAATGGAATCAAGTGTATTTGAACAATAAAAATAAATAAAATAAAAAAGTTAAAAAGAAGAAAAGTGAAGTGGAAAAAAAGAATTTTGGAGGGATAAAAATGTTCACATTATAACATAATGTGACAAAACAGTATTTTAGGAAGATTTGTTAAGATTGAACAGTACACTGAACAGCCAAATGGAAGCAACATCATCATTTACTCCACTCAAAATAATTTTATTTAATTAGCAAGTATCATAGCTATTGAAACTAAGAGGGAGGCAGGTAATATAAATTAATTTTTCTCTCTAAAAATATGGCGATTACTTAATTGAGAAGAAAGTGATTTCGGCTTTAGAATAGCAATGTATTTAGGAGGATTTTTCCTGTATGCAACGCACATGTCACTTTAAATCTTCTTGAAGTTTAAATTAACCTTACACATTGATCAGTTTCATGCTTAGTAGGCTTTAAGGCCATTGCTAGCCAATGAAAAAGATATGTCAGTGTGTATTAGCAAAAGGCAATCCCTCTGGGCAGATACTCATAGACCTGACACACTGTATTTCAGCCCCTACTGACTCCCTTGATTCAGGCACCGTGGTGCAGTGCACACACTACACTTATGTACACAGTAAACCTCTCCCTCATATTGAAGAACACAAGATTTCAAAGTCAAGAAGAAAAAACACCTCCAGGATCATTAAATTAAAATCACGTTAATTTTAAGACTGTAAGCTTAATTTTCAGCCTGTAGATAAATTATGTGACATTATTAAAAGAGAAAAAATATTTGTGTAGTCAAAGCACTGCCACAAAACATGTAAGGAAAATCCCGGAATGTTAGATATAAAGATAGATGTGTGAGGATGGCAATTTAGCCCACAGGCCCAAGGCAAATGCACACTTGCTTCCTTGGGGCAGTGAGCGAGCAAACATAGGTGTAACTAGTACAGAGAATAAAATCATAGTAACCCTGATTGAGATTGATCTTATCTGACTACTTAGTGATTATATAGTTATTTTAGAAGGTCAAATCATTTTATAATACATCAAATCATTTTATGATAAATATGTTACTGTACTAAAATCATACTTTCTATAATTTTGAAGGTCTGCTAATCTACATAGAATGAGTGTTTACATTAGACCTTGAAATAAAAATTACAATTATGAATATTTAAAAGAATATACACAAGATATATAATTTTGAATGATTTTTTTTAAAAAAAGGTTAATATAACCAATTGTAGGGCTTGCAACAGACTTTTGTTGCTGTTAAAAGCTATAAACTGCAAAGAAAATTCAAAAATACATATACTCACTGAATTGGCATTTGTTGGGTTTGGCCAAGGTCTACCACCACCTGGACCCCTACAAGACATTATGATAAATAAAATTTAAATTTTGCTTTGAATGTTTCACAATAAGCAATAACAAATCATAAAATATTAACATTTATAATGCAGTTACCATGGAAGTCTAGTTCAATAATGAAATTACTCTTTATACTTATTTTCACAGCTTTTTAATTCTTAAATCAAAAACTTATCATTTCACAAAGCAATTTTCTTTCTGAACCAAACTTTTAATGAGCATAATTTAATATTAAGTTCAGTTATTGTGCTAATGACTAAAAGTTGTAATCACCTATAGCAGGAAATAGACACATATATCTAAATCATTTTAAAACACACTACTGGAGTAAAAAGTATTATGAAATAAACACTATAAAGTATAATCTTAGATCACATAAATGCTCCCTGTATCTCACTTAAAATAAAATTCTTTGTAAAATATCTACTATCTAAAAATGATTGTTCTTTTAAGCTACAAATAAGTGTACATAAAAGGTATATAAATTTGTCCTCTTTTTGAAGAATCTCATGCTACCACACATTACATTATACATTTATATATCAGTCTATCTTTCAGTGTTCCTGACAATTTAGTTATCAAAAAAGGGAATTATATTTCTTACAAATCTTGGGAAAAATGGGAGGTAACCTATGTCAATGTATGTCGATATATTACTTAATTTTAGGGTAAAGGAGAATGATTTATATTCCATAGCTTAAAAATCAATGACTAATTAAGTCAGAAATGTCCCTTGTCCTCATGCTTAGTGTTAAGCACACCTGAAATAAATACTGCCTAATAAAGAATAGACGACTCTCAGCCAGTCCTCTGTAATTAGGGTCACTCAAAACTTCCCTTTCCCTCTAATCACAGTGAAAGTTTTTAACTAAAAAAGCCCTCTTGTTCTTATTCTAGGGACCTTAAACCTAAATGTTAGATAGAGTCTGCTCAAGTTAGCTGTATTACCCATGTTTACTTGAAATATTTAGAACTTTTTTTTTGGCGGGGAGGGGGCGCTCCTAGGGAATATAAATAGAAAAGGTCATGAGAATTCTGTCCTTGGTGTCTATTAGGATGTCCAAGTGCAACTGCTCCCAATTCTGCTTGAGGAAGAGAAGGGGAAAATAAGATTACCAGAGGGGACTTATTCAAAATATTGTGCATAGGGAGAAGGCAAGGATCACTTGCATTGGCTCTGGAGTTTGTTGCTTCTCTAAGATGATGGTGGTGGTGGTGGTGATGATGATGATGATGATTTTACAATTAATTATTGAGACACTTCAGAAAGATGATTTTACATATAGAATTCAATGTCCTAAGGATAGAAACTGAGGTAAAACATGGAATATATGTTGATCAGGTAAAATGTTTGATTTGTTTGATGTTAAATAAATTACAGTAAAAAATTGAGAAATATCTATCTGAAAACAACATAAAAATACTATATCCAAATAATGGCAAAAACTTGTATGCAATTATGTTATGTGTTATGTTTAAATAAGAACTGTATAAGACACACTAAAATATTTTATTTAAGATTTGTTTAATGTTACACTAACGTTAAATTAAAAAACATTTTACTTAATTAAATACACAAGTAATATGAAATTAAATGTTAAATTTATTATAAGTAACATAAAATACTTTTTATGCATTTCAATAATTTGACAAATACTAATCTAATCTCAGTACATTATTTCATATTAAATTGCATTTTAATATCATTGTTTAAGTATTCATATGAATAAGCTGAAGTTCCCCAACTTTACCATTGTGTTTGAAAACATTTAAAGTTTCACAAAAGTGCTAAATAAAGTGGGAGTTATAGTAGTGAGTAGTTCTATTAGAACAACTATCGGGCTTTGTAATTCCTACCACTTTTGAGGACTATCAGTATCATCAAGAAAATAATCTATGAACTATATAACATAGGCATTATTTTAAATGAAAATTTCTATATAAGTATAGATTGAAGTAGAATAAAGGTTAGCCTAATTTAAAAACAAAGAGAAAATGGAATTTAAAAGAAGTCTATATTTTTGGTACAGGTATATGAATATGATGAAATTAAAGCAGCCATGATTATCATGGAGCAAAATCCACTTTTCTTTTGCAATATGTCATCATTTTATTTCCCGATAATAACTGAATGAAATTTGTATTCTATAAGATATGATCTAGAACATATCTTTGTCCTTAGTTTCCATAAAATACCAAAGTATACAACATTGCATTAGAAGTGATTTAATGCTGAATTCTAGATTCTTTGAAAAGTTGTAAAAATGTAGTTACTATAGAAACATAGTTTCCTTTCAAAGTAATCTATAATGCATTTGAAAAAATTTACATTGTGGCTGTGGTTTGTAAATTCTACTTTAAATTACCAAGATTGACATTAAATTTTTACTTCTAAAGATATACTAATTATAGAAACAATAAAAGTATATATTATTTAATTTTTAGATGATATTGTAAATAAGTGTTCTGAGGTTAGAGCATAAAATGTAAAAATTATATCAGAATAACCATTTCTTGGAGGCAACCAATATTTAACAATAAAATTATTAAAATTCTATTTCAAATAGATAAAGTTGGTAGTTAAAATACAGTATTTAATTAACTTAGTGACCAGGGTTTGGTATTTTTTTTATTGTCATTAAACTTTCATGGCAAACAAGAAGAAGTGATAAGCTAAAGAAAACTTGTTTAGATAATGATTCTCTGGCAGGTTCCTCCTGACTCAACACTCAAGTACCTTAACTTAGACTGTTAAAGACGTAGCTTAAGCTATTACTATTATAATGCCATTTCCCTTAATTTTTAAGTTATATAACGTAAAAAGTGACATGAAGAAAACCACAAATACCAGTTAGAAATATTTATTTATCATAACACAGTAAGAATTACTTTGTTTTAAAGATAAAGTAAATTTCAGTAAAGTTTACCCTATTGATTACAATGGAAATAATCATACGGTTTAAAAAAATTTTCTTTACATTCACTTTTGCTTTCTTGGGATCAATGTTAATACAAAAATTATTCTCTCTGGTTTGATTTTCCATACATCAGAACTTCCCTGTTAGAGGGACATACAAAGGTCTGTCTGGAAAAAGCCCAACCATTGTTAACATAATGAGAATGGGTGGCGCAACATCGATGTAACTTGGCAGCCAAGGAGAGCGACTGGAAAGCACACTTGTGAACAATGACAACTTCACTGTACTAGTCAGTGGGGGCCGTAGACATCATTGAGTGAGCATGTGTACTGTGTGGCTATCGCTTTCAAAATGACTGAATAGAACAATGGATCTGCATCTAAGTTTGCATTAAGCTTGAACATTGCTCCACAGAAAATAGTCAGATGATTTAGAAAGCCACATCTATGGGCAACTGGTGATTGGCAGCTTCATCACAACAATATGCCTGCTTATACAGCATGTCCCATACAGAGTTTTTTGGCAAAACATCAAATCACCCAGGTGACTCAGCCCCCTACAGCTCAAGTTTGGTGCCCTGTGACTTCTGTGTTTTCCCAAAACTAAAATCGCTTTTGAAAGGGAAGAGATTTCAGGCCATCGATGAGATTCAGTAAAATATGATGGGGCAGCTGATGGCAAATGGGAGAACTGTGTGAGGTCCCAGTGTGCATACTTTGAAGGGGACAGAGGTGTCATTGTCCTATGGACACTATTTCTTGTATCTTCTTCAGTAAATGTCTGTTTTTCATAGCATGTGGCTGGATACTTTCTGGACAGACCTCATATTTACAACTGTAAATATGGACATATCTACATTTTCATTGTCCTTGAAGAAATCCTAATTTATAGAAAACTGAAAATAGTATTTAAGACCCTAAATAAAAGTCAATAGTAACAAATAATAGAAATCTGAGTCAATAAAAGTTAAACATTCTTTAAACATCAGAAATTTTACAGGTAGTAAAATATTATATAATAAAAATATTTAAAACTATCTTGGATATTTCAATGAGAAGCCCAAATTTAAATAAGCAAAAATAATTGTATTAAAATTTTCAGCCCTATTTTTATTCTCCATAGTCTGGGGAATTAAATGTACCCATGTATATCTATTTAACTATGTGTAATAAAGGAACTAGACAATTTAAACAGCTATTTGAGTCTCATGATTGTATGTGTGTTTGTTTAATTATAAGAAGAGTAATATATAAGATGCTATTAAATACATTCTTAATATTTAATTATAATTCTGGGTTAAGTGTGATGTTCAAAATGTATACTTCTTACATATATGCATAGTATTCAAAATTGTATTTTTTAAAGGCTGTTGCATTTTAAAGTCAGAATCTCAGGTAGGTAAATTTTATGTATATATCTAAATCCTACTAAGTAAGACCTTCAGCTTTGATATTAGCACAAAATATCACTTACTCCTTTTTGTAGCAACCATTAATAAAGGCTAAGCCTTTGAGGAATTTAAGAAAAGTTAGACTTCATGTCTATCCATTTTTACTTTGAAAGTAAAAAGATGTTACAGGAAAATTTGACCTACTTTTTTTCCCCTTGTTCTGTTAGTTTTCAGTCTGGCTGATACCTACCTATTAACCTATTTTCTATTTTAGGCAAAATTGCTTTTCATGAAAATCCCTGTGTACATCATAAGAGCTTATCTCACAGTATAACTTCAATGCCATTAAATGATGGCAGAGTTGTTTAATTTGACATGTAAGTGACCAAAACATGGATGGATGGGAAATAGATTAGAAGAGACTACCCACAGTCCTATATAGAACATTTTCATCATTTTTGGTAAGCTTTCTTTAATCCCCTAGTGAATTAATAAAAGCCACTAACAAGCACCTGGTTTGGAACCTCGAGGGCAAGTTACATAATAAAAAATAAATAAAAATTCCTTAAGCTGCACTATATTGGCCAACAGAAACAATCTACTCTCTTTGGGCTTGAAAGGCCTTCCCAGAAAAAACAAACAAACAAACAAACAAACAAATAACTTCATTTACTCCTTATCTAAGTGCACCTTGAATTTTCAAGAGGAAATTCACCCTATACCATGAGAGTTCTTTAATATAGATGATACTACCAGAGAGAATTTTTCCTGTGTTGAGAGTGAGCCCAACAGAGCAAAAGTAAAGACACATATATGAGCTAAAAAAAATGCCACTCTTAGGAATCACTAGGTAGCTATTAAAGTGAAGTTACCAATATTCAATTGTTCACTTTTGTACAGTTAAGTCGTGGTGCTGGTATCAGCATTCTTCATACTTAAAATACCTCATTTTTATGATAATTGAATAAAATATAAAAAAAGAAACACATTAAAAGTTGGCATTTATGGCACCTGAAAATGGAAAAAAAATAAAGGTTGCAAGGGAAGAAAGAAAAACATAGAGAATATGTTCTGGAAATGAAGCAAACACTACAGGTCATGCTTAGTCCATTTGTACACTATCCAGAAATTGAGAGGCTGAAATCGTTTTACAAATTTAGTGTGACTTTCGAAGACGTAAATTAAAGCACTTTACTAAACAGGATAATACAGCATTTTTGCTTACATGTTCATTCCAGGCATTCCAGGGCCACCTAAAGCATTCAGTGGGGGTCTCATTGCACCTCCATAGTTCTGTAATGATAACCAAGGGTCAGACTACCACAAAACAAAAAAACAAAACCAAAGAGGAGGGGGGAAAGAAAGGAGAGCAGGTTAATGATTTCCCTACGTAACTCCTGATTGGACAAGGCCTGTGCAATTCATTCTCTGTGGGGTCCACTCTTGTACTTTTGCATCTATTTTAGCAATTACTTTGGTTTGTGCTTTTATAAACTATGTGAATATGTAAGATCATTGTAGCATGTTAAATAATTAAGATACATAATACATCTTTATTAATTTCCTAATAGCTGTACAACAGTGAACTTTTAAAAATAAAACATTTCACAAATTCAAAACTGTTTTTAAAGCAAAAACTTAGTCAACATGTTTGAAATTGTCAGACCCAGAACAATTATATAGTCTGAAAAAAAACCCCAGGTGAACTCAATATAAGAAAGTTGAATGCAAACTTCTGTTCACCAGATAATTCATTGAACACAGAAATTCACTAATAGAAATGTACGAAAATATATGAAAACTAAGGTAAACTCAGAATATGTATGCATAAATTATATGATTTAATAGGTTTCTGTCAATATCTAGTATGTGCATTCAAAAGACAAAAAATATTTTAATGTTTTAACATGCATATCATATTAGCTTACTTCAGTTTCCATAAGAGCCAAAAGATTAAAATTAACATTATCATGTTGATACGTTTTTGTCACTATCAACCACTTTCATGCTTGGCTTTCCCTCACAACTGTTGATTCAAACTTTTCTATCTCCATTTCCTTTGCTGGCTCCTTTTACTCTGGTAACTCTTTAAAGGGTGCTTTCCCCAGTGTTATAGCAACAGCATTCTTTGACTATTCTAAGAATAATAATTCTTTTTATTTCAATAAATGCACATTCATGGGCAATTTCATGTGCTACCATTAGTTCAATAACTATTTACGGTGGAATCCCAAATCATTTATATTTTGTCATGATAGATCTCTTAAGCCTCTAGAAAACTCATATGTTGAACTTCACATGAATTGTTACCACTTCATGCTGAACATAACTAAAAATAAACAAAACTATCTTCTCATGGCTGTTCTTTATATTGACTTCCTTCGTTCCGTGGTGTGACCGCCACAGAACAGTCCAGGCTAAGAACCTCCAGGAGCTTTGCTGTCTCTTCCTTTTCTTTCAATTCCTATATCCAGTGATTTACCACAAAGCCTTGATTCTACCTGTGAAACAGCTCTTGAAATAGTGCTCTCCTTCTTATCACTAATGTTTGTCATTTACTGAGACTGCTTCACTGTCTTAATTGGTCTAACACAGCCTCTTCCTGTCCCAATCTATTCTCCATACTCATCCAGAACTATGCTTCTAAAGCTGAGTCTTCTTTAAGTCACTTAAAAGCCATGAAGACCCACAGTGCCTATTAAATAAAGGCTAGACTTCTTTCTCAGCATGGCTCTATGAGGTTATTCCCAAATCAGTCCAGCCTATATTTCCTGCCCTCATTTCCTATAATTCTTACCTTCTTCCCCTTATTCCAACTACATCCTATAACCTATCAAATTCATCTTGTGGTTCAAAAACAAGCAATACAAATTTACACGCATGTTAACTGATGTGCTGTGGCCATCTTGTAGTAGGTGCTAAGATGATGAGATATTCAATGAGTGAAAAGTCTGTTAACTCTGGAGAGTGAGCCCCAGTTTATAAATTATTACGTAGTTACATGCTATTGTCATTGTCTATTTCTTTTACTTTCAGGAAGTCTTATTTAAACATCCTGACTCTGTGTGCTGTGGGACAGTAGAATGGTTTCTGTCCACACTTTGACTCATTGATGAAAGGCATAGTTATGTCCGTAACCACCGGATCAAGAATGGTGGAGGCAGCAAGGAGTCCCTGAGAAGAAAGTCATTGGGGAAAAAAATCTGAGTGGTAAAGTGTAAGAGAAATCCTTCATGAGAAAAGTATCCCCTCAGTTCTGGTCTTAGAAGATCTGTGTTTTATATTATCAAGGGAAACATTAGTTTTCCTTATAGCTCTGGGCATACGAAGACTTTAGTTCGAATCTCTGCTGCCACTGCCCCATTTCCTCTGATCCTCTTCCTATACAATACGATCCTGGACCAGTGATTCTACCAGTGAGCCGCTCGATCTTAATTTATCTGTAAGGTGATAGCACCTTTTCCCCTATAAATATATTGGAGGATGAAATGAAATCATTTAAAACACCTATAATAGTGCTTGGTATATTAAAAGCATTATACCTGGTACTCAAAAATTATAGCTGTTAACTCCTTCTTGTCTCCATTAATAAGGGACCAACTTTAAATGGGTTCTCTTCTCATCAGATTCCCTTGAACTCTCGGTCCTAACAGAATTAATTTGCCTGTTTATGCAATGACTTCCTGACAGAGCAGGCATATTTCTTTTCTAGATTTATTTTCTGCAGCATAATAGTTTTCTTTACGTTTCTGAACCTCCTGCTAAACAACGAGTACCTTGAAGACACAGTCTGTTTTACTCCTCTTTGTATACCCAGGTATCAAGTATCATAGAAAATGAGTAAGAAATTATCCAATATATAATTTGATAGATTAAAAAATATTTACATTTTGAGGATAATCTGAAGCCAAAAGAAAAGAGGAATATAAGAAAGAATAACAACTGGCTTTCCAAGTGGTATCAACAAAGGCAGATAGAAAGAGCTAATTTAGAATCACTGAATTTTAAACCTGATGGCAGCTATACAATTCCATCTGGTTTAATCTCACTCCCAATGCAATGTTCCTGACAAAATGGCTCTTCAGATTCTGCTTGGAAAGTTCCTAAGGAGTTTTTCCATGATTGGGCAGTTTAATTTCTAGAAATTTCTTCCGTATCCTGAACTGAATTCTACCTCCCATCTTGTATTTGAAAATACAGAAATCAGTTTACTCTCTCTCTATACGAGAGCCCATCCCATATTCCCATCCCAGCATTTCTCCACCTCAAGTATCTGATTTGGAAATTATGGTATGTTTTCATTTGTACATAACTCATTTATCCCTAAGCTTCCTAGAGGAACTAGAAATGGCTTAGTGGTCCTGGTGAATTTTTCTGTTAATCATGTGGTACCTGGTGAGCATGAGAACACAGGCAAGCTAAGTGTATCTTAGCACAAAAGCAAGAAGAAAAAGGACTTCAAATTTGATATTAGGAGGACATTTTTCTTGATTAAATAGATAATTTTGTTTTTCTATTTTGAAAAGATAGTGATGTCAATTTCAAAAATCATGTATTAGCATTGTATTTATAACAAAAATAGATTAATAGATGGGGAAAATATGCCAGGATTTGTAGCAAACTTTTATTTCTTCATCCATGCAATAAGCATTAATCATATGTTTACTATCTTCTAGGGGTGCGCTTTGCCTAAATTGGCATTATCTAAGAGTCACTAGACAATACATATTTCCTTGTCCTAGTAATTAAATTGTTCGAACACATAACAACTATTCCTCTTCATCACATTGATCTCAAACTAAAAAAATAATGGAAACAATATCTGTGATAAGAATAAAGTGTGTATTTTGTTTGTGCATAAAACTAGAGACAACATTTCAGAGACTGTCTCTTTAATTCAATTACCAAAAAGCAGGTGCATTCTGCTCTGAGGTGGTATCTGTCTGATTAAATGTCTGTTGTTAAAGTCGTTTTCCTATGTTCTTTCAAGAAACATAGCTAACCTTTACTACAAATATCACAGTTTATAATGCCTATGTTTTATATACCAGGTGTTATAAAGTAAACATCTCACAAAAATTTCCCCATTCCAAATGATTTTGCCTACTGTATCATTCACATGATTCTGATTTTCATTTAAGTACATGATATGTATAAATACTTTTATTTAGCCTTTTATACCTTATATTCTGTGATTTTGCTAAATGAGTGTAGGTATTTCTGATTTCTGAGGTAAATTCATACAAAAACACTTTATTTCCCTCAAATTATGTAGAAATAGATAGCAAGGATAACAGTCCAAAGGGAAATAACTATTCTCTTTGGGTTTCAATATGTAAAGAAAGAATTCACACTTACATGATAAGCTTAGTTATTAAAACTCATCAATAAAAGATTAGTCACAAGAAATGTTATCTTACTTTGTGTTTTTTACTTAGAATGCAAAAAAAAATAGCTATTTATAAAACAAAACATAGACCAATATGCTTTTTATTTATTTACTTAGGTAAGCATTGGTATATTTTTCAAACACTGCAAAACTGACTTTTACATAATCAGACTCTAGTTTTTAAAGTAATAAAAATGTTGGTCTAGGAATGACAAAAGCTTAATGGGCAGCTACTTGAAAAATAAGTGAACTAAATGAAAACTAATTCAATTATAGGCATTGAGTTTTGATGTATCTTTAAAATATGCCTACTATGAAAATCTTTTGGAATAAAAGTCTTCAAGTCTGTGTAGCCAAATTAGTTGGCTTTGTTCATTAAATATTTAGTTTGTTAAAGACTTCTGTATATTTAATCCATGAAATATTCTATAGATCAATTGCTATTAACAGCCTAATGATGGTTGGTCACATAAATTAATAACCCTAATATGAGTAAAAACAGGGAAAGGTAATTTAAGTATCTAAATCAGGGTTTTATAAGATAATAAGAAAACACATATGAAAAGACTGACCCTAAATGAAAGAGAAATTTTTTTCTGACTTGAGGGTGTTACATATATTTATTCAGTGGGTAATACGGTATTTCTGAAAAATTAGTTTATATGCACTTTACATGCACTATATGAACCATGAAGTGCATATAAACTAATATATACATTATTAGTTAATATATACATTATTGTATGTTGTTTACAAACTCCTAGGTCTAAGTTACATTATCTAGGTGTTTGATTCTAATTCCCTGACTTCTTTGGGCATACACTAAAATATTAATATAATTTTTAAAAAGCAGATACATGGGACAAGCTCCTAAAACTCACTTATAAATCTGTTCTTAGAAAAGAAAAAAAATAAAATAATTAATTCATTCTTTTAACCAGTGTTATGACATGCTATCCTCTGACTCATGAGGTAGAAATGTTAAATTCTGGATTTTGGATTAGTTTTGTTAAAATATAACATCATAAAATAATTTCCACCCCATGCTGTTTTCCCAATGGAGATAAAAATGCTGTTTTACCTAACATAAATGATATCCTGGAAGAGCATACTTAAAAAATATCATGAACAGCTAGGATAGATTTGACCTCAGTGTATATTTCAGGGAAGTTTCGGCAAAGAAGTAAGCTAACATCTAATGTATACTGAGAGCATATGCTTGTGCAGCAAGACCAATTTTTAATGGTTATTTCTAAACGATTCTCCATTACTTTCATATTATATAAAGAAATATGGTAGTATAAAATAAATTGTCAATGACATTCTCTAAAAAACTTATAGAAAAATAATTTATACTGCTTATTCTATTTAATATTTTTAATCAATTGTATTTTATTTAATTTATTTAATTGACATGATTGTTATCTTTTTATAATAATTGTCTATAAATTTTTATTTCTTCACTATAACTAACAAAAGGGTAATAGTTATCTTTATAATAACTAGAATGTATTTTCTCAAATGTACGGAATGCACCTGTGACAACACCTGTAAATAACATTTGTAGTTGCATCAATTTGGACATGTCATAGATGACATTCTCAAGAGCCTAACAACATACTATAGCAAGATTTTAATGCATATAACAAAGCCCGGAAATAACACAGTTTGTTCATATAAAATAAAGGCAAAACCTCAGCATCTGCTTTGTGCCCTGATTATTTACCTGTGGTCCTAAGGGCACCATCCCTCTGGGAGGAGTCATTCTCTGCATTGGCCCACCCATATTGGGATGCCCTAAAATGGAAGCGTAAAGGTATTAGCTGTGCAAGGAGCGCGGGCGCTAACCCTGAGGCTGGTAGTCTTCTCTCTGCTTGCTGTTTAATTCTTCTGTTTATGTTATCAGTGCCACTATGTTATCACCATCATGCATAGTTAAATGCTAGCTAAAACATAAATTGCTTGGCCATGTTATCTGCAAAAACGATTTTGGTATAATTATGGAAGATTTTATTCAAATACAAATTTTATTTAAAAATAAAGGATTTCCTTTCAGATTGTGCACATTTATTTCACTTGTACTTTAAAGTAGTCACCTTGTTGTCGAGTTGGGTCCATTCCACTGGGAAGTAAAGGCTGACTTCCTGGGACACCTCCAAGTGCCTAGTATATTTAGTCAAACAAAACAAAAAAATATTGTAAATATTTATAAAATAAGTGCTTTAACAATTCTCTTTTAAAATTCCTATAGTTACAGAATGCATTTGAGTGCTTTATAGATTTGGTTATATTTCACTTTCATTTATAATTTTTATAGGTGTATATACCTAGTATAAGTTCTTAGTTCTAAAGTTATTACATTTGTCCAATTTTGTGGCAGACAAAATGAGTACTTTGGGGGAACAAATATCTAGGCAAAAAATTGTCCTGCATCTTTTTAATGAGTATAATGTCTTTGTTCCAAGTTAATTTACTAAAGGTACTGAGAGAAGTAATTTTGCTTCTTAAATATGAGCTCTGTTTCTACAGATTATTTTACTCATTTGGGATTGCAAGAGCAGCATTACCAAAATGCCAAGGGGCCAATGAATTTTTTTTTGTAGTCACATTTTCCATAAGAAACTATTCAGAAAAATAATACTCCAATTAAGTTCAAACAAGTTGTCTGTATCAAAAATAACTGGAATGGAAAAAGATGGAGATTAACAAACTGTTTATTTATTTGGGGCGCGATACTGAATACATACTTAACTGCAAGTTCCTATAGTTGTCTGAGCAGTTCTTACAATCCATTGATTTTATGAATTATATATGTATACACATATATACATAATCTTGGCAGTTGGCAAAAATTTATAAAGATTCATTAATTTAACTTAAAGCAGGATAAATCTTGTCCAATTAGTTACAAATTTCAAGTGTTTCAAAAGAAATTTAATTTTAAAGAATTTATGTATCTAGATCAGAACTATATACTTAACAACCACTTGAGAAGAGTAGAGAGTTGCCATTTCTCAAGCCATTTTATATAATTATTTGATTTTTTTCTTTTGCTTACAAGCACACTTAACATATATTGAGTTCCTACTTACCTTTCCAACTTAATTTCTCGCCATTGCCACATGACATTCTAATTTCTAGCCATACAAAATTTCTTTCAGTTTTTTCAACTAAAGCATTCAATCAACAATAATATCTAATTGCCAATCATTAAAAACAAAACAAAATAAAAACTATAAACTAAACTATCTCTCCTTTCAAGGAGCTCACAGAGATTTAAGTTCCTATTGCTGATACTCTCTAATAAAATTCTTTCCTATGTACCTGGTTTGGGGTAAGTTTTCCTCCTATTTGCTTTAAAACATGTATAATTTTTTTAAATGTTCAAACTTACAGAAGAATTATACAAACAGCACAAAGAATGCCTGTATACCCTGACACAGACTGCCCGTCTGTGAACATTTCACCACATTTGCTCCATCACCCTTTGTCCCTCTCTCTCTCTGTACATATACTTTTATCCTAACTCTTTTTCAGAATCACTTGAGAGCAAGTTGCAGACATCATGCCTCCATCGCCCCTAAGTATTGCACAATCTAGCTCTCTGAACAAGGATATTCTCCTACATAACCAGAACACAACTTCTCAAGACAGGGAATCAACAGTGATACAATATTATCATCCAAGCCACAGACCTCATTTAAATTTTGCAATTTGTTTCAACAATGTTTCTTTTTTCTTTCTGGGACCAAGACCTCAACAAATACATTTTGTATTTCATTATCATGTTTCTTCATGTTCTTCCAGGCAGTAATAATTCCTTAGCCTTTGCCTATCATGTTCTCAACAGTTCTAAAGAGAATGGACACTGAATTCTACAGGATGACCTGAAGCCTCTTCATGCCTAGATTAAGGTAAAATTTTCTTATCAGAAATATCACAGAAAAGGTGCCATGCTTTCCTCAGTGATTATATTAGAAGGCACATGATACTGACTCATTCCACTACTGGTGATCTTGATTTTTATCATCTGATTGTGTTGGTGTCTGACAGGTTTCTGTACCATAAAATCATTATGTTTTCCCTTTGTAAATGATTATTTTTAGTGCTGTTCCAAGATTGTCAGTATTGCACTCCTCATCAATCATTTACTAACCCACCACCCTTAGCGTTCACTGACAATTCCTAAGCACTGCAATAGCTGCCAGATGGAGTCTATCTAGGCTTATAAATTGGTATCCCAAGCTTAAGGAGGAGCTTTCTTTCTTTCCTTTCCCTTCCCTTCCCCTTTCTTTTTCTTTCTTTCTTTCTTTTTCTTTCTTTCTTTCTTTCTTTCTTTCTTTCTTTCTTTCTTTCTTTCTTTCTTTCTTTCTTTCTTTCTTTCTCTTTCTTTCTTTTCTTTCTTCCTTCCTTTTCTTTCTTTCTTTCTTTTCTTTCTTCCTTCCTTTTCTTTCTTTCTTTCTTTCTTTTCTTTCTTTCTTTCTTTTCTTTCTTTTATTTAAGACATATGGATTCTTAGCATATTCAGTGGGTTGTAATCTATTATCATCATTCACTTTAATATTCATAAAGGTTCATCATACTTTGAGCATTTCTTAACTGGCAAAAGATGTTCCAGGTTCATTTTATACTTTTTCTGGACTAGCTCTGGAATTGATCTTTTCTCCATTTTGCTCTGATTCCTTCTAGTGAATAACAGTGTATAGACATCAAGATTTGGGTTCTCAAGAGTGTGCATTAGTTGGGTGCATTGTTTTTAGACCCTCTCAGTAGATTCTGAGCTCAAAAATCTATATGTGTATGTGTATATACACATATATCTACATCTATGATTTATATCCTTCCTCCCTCTCTCTCTCTGTATGGTACATAAACAAACCAAAATTTATATTCTCCAACACTGATTCAACACTTCCAACCCCAATCCAAAACCATAGAATTATTTTCAGGTTTCTTCCTATGCTTCCTTCTATTTTCTCCAACAGTGAGAAACCAGCTTTAATTATCTTCAATATTTTTTACTTATTTGCTTAATGAAGGTAATTATTTGTTCAATATATCCTATTTCCCAACCAACAATGACCATTTGTTCTTTCTGCTCCCTCTGTGACTCCTCCCTGCATCCCTGAATGTTTTAGCATGCAGAGAAGGAAAGGCTTTTTAGATGCTTTTGTAGGATCTTATACCTCACTTTCACGGAGCTTAAATATGATCATGGCTTGTTTTCTTCCCTGTACCTCCAATAGACTATAAGCTCTGAGTGTGGAGCCTATCTGTGTCTCTTGGCTCAGAATAATCAATATTTATTGAAGGTAGAGAAGGAATAGGGTTTAGATTGGGCAATTTTAGGAACCACCAGTGATAAACTCATAAGAATGGAATAGACTTCAAAGAGTGAGAAGAAAAAAAGATCAAACATACAATTATTTAGAAATACCTAAAAGAGGTAGGAAAGGAAACTGAAAATGAATAGGTATGAAATTAAGAGAGGAACTAAGATCAACATTTCAGAAAGCATGAAGAGAGTTTCAAGAATGAAGAAGTGGTCAACTCTGTCAAAAGTTATAAAGACTCTTTTTTTAGGTAGGTCTGTATTGCTCTGAACTTCCCTCTCAGGACTGCCTTTGCTGTGTCCCACAGGTTTTGGACTGTTGTACGTTCATTTTCATTTGTTTCCAGAATTTTTTTGATTTCTTCTCTTATCTCTTTATTGACCCATTCATTGTTTAATAGTCTACTGTTCAGTTTCCATGAGTTTGCAAGTTTTTAAAGTTTCTCTTTGAGGGTGATTTCCAGTTTCAAGCCCTTGTGGTCCAAGAAAAAGTTTGGTATTATTTCAATTTTCCTGAACTTGTTGAGGCTTGCTTTGTGTCCTATCATGTGGTCTATCTTTGAAAAACTCCCATGAGCATTTGAAAAAAAATGTGTATTTTTCTTCTTTGGGATGTAAGGTTCTATATATGTCAGTTAAGTCTATTTGATTCAGTGCGTCATTCAGCTCCACAATATCTTTATTGATGTTTTGTTTGGAAGATCTGTCCATTTTCAAGGGGGTGTTGAAATCCCCTGCTATCAGTGTGTTGTTGTCTATATCTTTTTTGAAGTCGTCCAACAATTTCCTTATTCAAAAGAACCTATGCACCCCAATGTTCATAGCAGCACAATTTACAATACCCAAGTGTTAGAAGCAACCTAAATGCCCAGCAGTAGATGACTGGATCAAAAAACTATGGTACACTTACACAATGGAATACTACGCAGCAGAAAGAAAAAAAGAACTACTAAACTTTGCGACAGCATGGATGGAACTAGAGAGCATTATGCTAAGCGAAATAAGCCAGGGGGGCAAAAGACAAATACCATATGATCTCACCTATAAGTGGAACCTAACAAACAATACAAAGATGCAAGGAAAATAAGACCAGCAATACTGAAAGGAAAAGAAATCAACAGAGACAAGAGAGAAGGGGGGAGGAGGGTGGGGGAAAAGGAAGGGAAGGGGGAAAGTCAAGGAACATATAGCAAGGACTCATGGACAAAACCAAAGGGGAAGAGCTGAGGGAGGATGGGAAGAGAGAGGGGGCAAGGGAAAGTGGTTGGGGGAAGGCAGAGACAAATGTAGTTGAAAAAATAAATAAATTTTTTAAAAAAGAAATAGGCAAGAAATATACTAAAACAGTTTTAGTTTCAACAAATAATAAAGGAACAATTAAAATAAAAAAAAGTGATAAAGACTCAAAACAAGTTAGACAGAAAAAGTCAAGAGCCATATGATTTTACTTACATGTAATATGTAAAACTGAAAGCAACAAATGATCAAATAAGAAAAACAAAAAAAAAACCCCAAAACTCATAGACACAGACAACAGTATGGTGGTTACCAGAGGGAAGGGGGTTGGGGAGGGGAAGTAAAAGGTAAAGGAGGCCAAATATATCATGGTGGAAGAAGGGTTGACTTTGGGTGGTAAACACACAATGCAATAGGCAGATAATGCCACCCCAATAAATATAAAAAGACATTCTTAGACAAAAATAAGTGAATGAGGAGGAAGACTGAAAATATATGACTAATCAATATTATCTTCAACTGTGAGTTTGAAGTTCTTGCTTTTTAAAGTCTCCAAGTGACTAGAGTTTTACACTCTGGACGTAGATTCTGAATT